TGACAGGAGCACTCCTGCCTTCTTCACTTGATTGTAATAATGGAAAAACAAACTGGAAGCTAAGGGGCTAGGGTTAGGGTCAGGGTGATTGCAATGGTTTTAAGTGTGAATAAATGGACTTAAGTTATATTTTTCAGTGACGTAACTTCAAACAGTCACTAAATGAACTGTTGTACATCAGGGACTATCTGTAATTTGTTTATACAAATGTGCTTATTGTACTTTGTGTATTGACACCCTTTGAAAGTAATGAATGACGTAGATCTTACCCAGTGGTCCAAGCACCTATCCCAAATACATAATAAAATTTCTTACAGAAACTTAGAAATTGACCCTATCAGAACTGACAAGCTAATTTTATTGGTTAGTTGAGAGGAATAGTATACCTGATAGTGCACTAAAGGAGTTTTCAAAATGCTAATTTACAAAAAGAATTCTTCTTCATACTGCTTTCTCCTTCATTCACTTTCTCTTTGTTCCAGTGGTAGCAGAGATAAGAATCTGTCAGCACAAGTGATCTAATTATGGGGAATCAAGATTCTAATGGTAGATGCATTATCGTAAATATTTTACAGGCTATCCTCTCTCTGGATGTGCGCCTTGAATTTTAAAAGAGAGGCATAATTGTGAAGAAATACCAGTGGCTTGGAGGCTGGCTGAACTTGTCACATCTACTACATGTACATTCCTGATATTTTTCAGCCTGATTTGTAATCATGACCAAAGAATCTTTGGCGCATCTCTGCTACGTTGAGGAGGCTTACCTGAGCTTGACCGGGCAGAAATGGCATATCAGTAAAATCAAGACCTAAGAACTGGGATGGGCAACTATAGCATCTTTCCAACTTATGGACTTCAACTCCCAGAATTCCTGAGACATCAGCCATGCTGGCTCAGGAATTCTGGGACTTGAAGTCCACAGGTTGTAAAGGTGTCATAGTTGCCCACCCCGCCTAAGAATAAGGCATTTTCCCAGGTGCTGTTTCCAAAGGGACATCAGAAGGAGAGGTAGCCCCAACAGTGTGTACTTCAAGAATGATGAAGAGTCTGATTCTAAACCAAGAGCCAGAAATCCCTCCCAGAAGGAGCCCAACAAAAAGGAGAAATTGTGTATCATATGAACTTTTGGTTCTGGCAGCACAACCGAGGAAAGAACAGGGTAGAAGTGAAATGAAAAAGAACCGAGTCATGTAGAAGGAGGAGTTTTCACAAGTGATGCTCTCCTCACTGACAGAATGGGGGTGATGTCTGTCAAAATTTCCTCTCCAAAACAACTACTAAAAAAAATATACTGGAGCATTACTGTTGCATTTTTGGTTATCTTATTTACATAAAACAAACAGCTCTGGAAAATTCAAGGATGCCCTTAAAACTTTGTGTGTGCTGTTAATGTACTTGTTAAAAAAAACCCACTCATTCTTTTCTATACAGGTAGAGTCCTGGACCTGCAACCATAATTGGGACTGGAATTTCTGTCATTAAAGGAGACAGTTGTGATGCGAGTTATGCCCAATTTTATGACCTTCCTTGCTGCGGTCATTAAGCAAATCCCATGCTTGTTAAAGTGGATCACACAATTTTTAAGTGAATCTGATTTTGATCATTTATTTTGTTTGCCAGAAGCTGGCTGGGAAAGTCACGAATGAGGATTGCATGATCTAGGGATACTGTAACTGTCATAAATACATGTCAGTTGCCCAGCACCTGAAATTTGATCATGTGACTGTGGAGACGCTGAAAGGGACAGATGTGTGAAGCCTGGTTGTAACTTCGAACAGGCACTAACCAAATGGTCGTAAGTCGAGGACTACCTGAATAGCACTGGTTCGGACAGCATGCAAATATCATGGTACTCTAAATCAGGGCCTCCCCAATCCCTGGTCCGTGGACCGGCACTGGTCCACAGCATGCCAGAAATTGGGTCATGCAAACAAGCGAAGCCCCATCCGCGGGATGCATGCAGCACGTGAAACCACGCCCCTTCCGGTCTGGGGAAAAACCTCTCTCCACGGAACCGGTCCCTGGTGCCCAAAATGTTGGGGGCCGCTGCTCTAAATCATACCCTGGATACTCTTTTCCTCTAGCCAAGGCTAAGCTGTCTTGTCCATCTGTCCTTATACTAACAACAAGAAGAAAACAGGCAACTTTAGCCAGTCTGCCATAATGTAAGCTTTCCATTTTGGAGTTGGAACTATCAAAGTAGGGATTTTCATCCCTTGTTCTTCATGCATCTTTTTTTTTTAAAATTACTCTCAAAAATAACATAGAAAACTAAAATGAGACAGCTCAGTAATACTGGATTTTAAATGTGGCAGCTGCAACATCTTTTCCAAAGTCTAGGGTAAGATTCTTACTATGCGAGTGGATACTGAACAACTCAAGCTATTCAAGAACAACAATAAGAGATTCGACGGTGTTTACGTAGAATGGGATAGCCTTTAGCATAATCTATGACACTGAAATGAGAAATCCCACCATGCAGATGGAAACAATGAAATGCATAGTTACACATACACAAATAGTGAAAATCAGAGATAAAGAAACGATCAGCATTTCCAATGATCTGCTTGTTATTGTGGCGCTGCAGATAAGAGAAGGTGATGACCGAGAGATGTCCTAAAGAGAGATGAAGTCAATTTTTTGAGTGATTACACCTACCAAGGGCTTGATGAATTATCAATACAATGAATAGAAATTGAGAAGCTTTCATTACAAAGTCACTTGAACAGAAGGTGACTAACACCCTGGGTGTTTTTTCAGTCTAAAGGCTATACTTTCTACTCTAGGCTCAGGAGGAATGGGCAGAAATATTATGTGATAATTAGCAGTTATTTTCAGATCCATGTTTTACTTGTAGAGTTTAGATTAAGGGGATGAAATGCATGCATTATAATTTGCACTAGCTATATTTTATCTGATTTTGTCTCTTGGCCTCTCCAAATGGAAAAATTGATCCAACATCTGTAGGGATTTGTAGATTTCAAAGGATGAAATAAGTGCAATTAGATTCTGCAATCTTTAAGGCATCATCTGATCCATGAGACTCTCTCAGCCAAGAAATGCTTCTGAAATATCAGCCCTACCTATCATGAGGTTGGGGACTGCAGCCACAAATACACTACTAGATATAGAAGATGACCAGGCTGAGGCCGAAGGAGGGGTTAAATGCATCATCAGTCATGAGTCCTTGCACACCCACAAGAGATCTAAGTCCAGTACATCTTGCATTCCTTTCTATTCTTCACTCCCACTAATTTTCCTTGACCGTTAGTGGTTCAGATTTTTATAGGGAGCTTAAGTTTACAATAAATCTTTATACACATTTGAACTGCAGGGTCTCCTGACTTCCCTAGTGCTTGACACTAAATGACTACATGCAGATCCCACAGCGAAAATACCCACCTTTGCTAAAGAAACTACAACCAACGTGAGGATATGCACATTCTTTCCAAGGCCACCATTGTACAGACTAGGCACTGTGGTAACCATAGGTACTCTCGTGCTTGTGAATCGTCCTCTGATAACACATCAGAGTCAATATGCACATCATAAGTTATCCAAAATTGCCTTTAGGTTGTAAATTGGTCCCTTTGCTTTCTTGGAAAATTAAAATAATAAAACAAGATAACTTGGAATACCATAGTACAAATATTCTAGTAGTTTCAAACTAGAGAAGAGGCAACCCCACTCCTTTTTGCCTTCTGATGAACACATAATTTATAGTGGTCACATCCATGGTAGCAGCCATTTTGTAAATCAACACCTCCCTGAATGTTATCTTATGCGAAGATCTCTCAATCACACAAATATCCAATTGAATCCACAGGCCTAAAATATTGTCTGTTTTTGATTCTAGACAACTTGAGAAGTACTCTGTGAAAAAAGATAGATGAAGTCAAAGGGATGAATGGCTCTTCCTCTATACATTAAAACAACGGAGAACATGGAGAAACAAACATGTATTTAAGTACCAAGAATTAAATGAATTTTCTGTAGTAATAGGAAGGTGAGCATAACAACTGAAGCAAGGTGATAGCAAACCCCTTGTTATGATTCTGTAATAAAATCGTCAACTGAAATGTACTAAAAAATTAAGACAGAAATGAGACACATTATGAATCACCTGACTTCGACAAGTTCAATGTTTCCATGAAAAAAAAATATATTTTAACTTTTCAATAAGCAAACAAGCAAACTCCCATCTAATCATATTTAGGTCAAGAAAGTTTAAATGCCATCTATGCCTGTAATATAGCCATCAATTTCTAAATACAGGTAGTCCTCGGCTTATGACCACAATTGAGCCCAAAATGTATATTGTTAAGTGAGACATTTGTTGAATTTCACCCCATTTTACAAGCTTTCTTGCCATAGTTGTTAAGTGAATCATTGCAGTTGTTAATTAGTAACCTGGTTGTTAAGTGAATCTGGCTTCCTCATTGATATTGCTTATCAGAGGGTCGCAAAAGGGGATCACGTGACCCCAGGGATACTAAAACCATCATAAATATAAGCCAGTTGCTAAGCATCCAAATTTTGATCACATGACCTTGGTGATGCTGCAATGGTCAAAAAAGTGTGAAAAAAGGACATAAGTTACTGGCTTCAGTGCCATTGTAGCTTTGACTGGTCACTAAATGAAATGTTGCAAGTCGAGGACTACCTGTAGTGTTTATATCTTTAAAAAAATCAACACACTAAGCAAACTTTCTAACACATTTATGTTCATTACCTTGAGTTACTTGTAAAAATAAGAAAGCGTGAGTGTGGAGAAGGGGGAAAGATACAAATAGATAGAGAGGCAAATACAAGGACCAGGGCTAACTCAAAATAATACCATGCAATATTTTATGATGTTTTCGCAATGCTGTTTAAAAATATTTAAATTAAAAGCCAGCAGCTATCTTTTTTTTTTTTTAGCCAATTTAAACTAGTTATGTATATTTAGACACCAATGTTTTAAGTAGAGTACTTTGGTATTAAATTTAAAAAAAACCTACCTCCTCGCTGTACCAGCAGTGTCACCTCACTTCCTTTAGGACATTCAATCAGCATATCCACAACTTGGTTGTGAGTTAGATTCTGCACATTCTTCTTGTTGACTTCAACTATAAGGTCCCCTTCTTTTAGACCTCGGCACCTTGGACTGTCGACAATTTGCTTCACTCTCTGTCCCCCACCCCCAGGACTGTCTGCTATAGTGAAGCCAAAGCCCATTGGCCCTTTAATTATATGTACAGTTATGAGTTCAGGTTGCGTTGCTATAGAAGAAGCCAAGGAGACTGTGTCATTGGGGTAGCCGTGGGATCCATTGGAAGAAACCTCAGCGGGACTGCTAGGTCTCTGCTCTTTCATCCCGTTGACTTTCCCTGTTTTGCTACCATGGCTTGCCGGAGAGTCATAGCTTTCTTGCCCATTTACAATGATCGGTTCTTTATCCAAAATGGCCACAGATGTCACCAGGCTTGTGTTGGGATCATCTGGGTCAAAAGGCAGAGGATAGCCTCGGCACAGTTCCAGGTCCACGCTGGCACCGATAGGAATTGACTGGAAGATTTTGACCACTTGAGCATGGGTGTGGCCCAGGACACATGTGTCATTCACGCTGACAATAACATCTCCTACAGAACAGATGGTTGAAACTCTGTTAGTTTATCATACAAACTTCTTGCTTCATTCAGTGCATAGCAAAAGGAAGGAGGCGGAAGAGGAACAAGAACTACTACTAGTAGTTTTATCAAATATAATCTCTCTCTCTCTCCCCCCCCTCTCTCTATATGTGTGTGTGTGTGTGTGTGTGTGTGTGTGTGTGTGTGTGTTTTCTTAAGTTTTCGCGGGTACTTACATGTATGGTATTCAGCTTTGTTCGGGTATTTTCCCACGTCATTATAGTTGTGCTTTTAAAGTTGTAGCAACGTTTCGGCAGAATCTCATCTGCCATCATCAGGCTTCTG